TCCATCCTCCTTTTGAACCCGCGTCCCTGATTGGGAAATCTCCTGCAGCTGCCGCTCCCCCTGATCCTCACCTGTGGAGAATTAGCTCAGAGTCTGGTGAGAGGAGAAGGTGTGACTCACCTCTGCCCAGGAACATGACAGTGCCCCCCCCCTCAACGGACGCCCCCCGGCGCCCTAGCACCGGATCTGGAGGCCTTGAAGTCCGAGATGAGAGAGGGGTCCTCGATGTTGGACCAGGGAATCCAGGAGCGTTCCTCCGGGCCGTACCCCTCCCAGTCCACCAAATATTGAAGACCCCGACCACGGGGCCGAGAGTCGAGGATGCGCCGCACCTTGTATACCAGCCCCCCTTTGTAGAGCTGAGCAGGAGGAGGCGGAGCCGGAACCGGGCACAGAGGGCTGGAAACGACGGGTTTGATCAGGGAGACATGGAACACAGGATGGATCCGAAGAGACGACGGGAGTTCCAACCGCACGGTCGTCGGACTAGGGACCGCCGCGACCTTGAAGGGACCAAGGAACCTAGGAGAGAACTTCCTGGTGGTCGCCTTCAGCGGGACATCCTTGGACGACAACCAGACCATTTGACCGGGAGAGTAGGTGGGAGCAGGACGACGGTGTCGGTCAGCCAGTCGCTGATTCCTTTCCGCGGTCCGCTGAAGAGCCGACCTCGTGGTGATCCAAGTGCGGCGGGCCTGACGAAGGAACTGAGGAGTGGTGATGGTGGCATCTGTATGAAGGGGGAACAGAGAGGGCTGATATCCGAGGGAGGACTCGAAGGGAGACTGACCTGTGGCGGAGGAGACATGGCTATTATGGGCATATTCGACCCAAGCCAAATGCTCACTCCAGGTGGATGGGTTGGTGGCGCAGACGCAGCGAAGCATGGCACCCAACTCTTGGTTCATCCGCTCGCATTGTCCGTTGGTCTGCGGATGAAACCCCGAGGTCAGAGCCACCTGGGCTCCCAAGGCGGTGGCAAACTCCCTCCAGACACGAGACACGAACTGGGGGCCTCGGTCAGAGAGGATCTCTGTTGGGATCCCATGCAGACGAAAGACATGTTTAATTAAAAGCTGGGCCGTGACGGCAGATGTAGGGAGAGCCTTTAACGGCACCAGATGACAGGCTTTGGAGAACCTGTCCACAACAGTTAAAATGACACTAAAACCATGCGAAGGTGGCAACCCACAAACAAAGTCCAAGGCAATATGGGACCAAGGACGGGACGGCACTGGTAGGGAACAGAGTAGGCCTGCTGGAGACTGATTGGTACCTTTTTGTTGGGCACAGACGTGGCAGGCCGACACATACTCCTTCACGTCTCTGTAGAGGGAGGGCCACCAGAAAGATCGCCTGATCAGAGCCACAGTACGTCCTACTCCAGGGTGGATTGAGAACCTCCCGGTGTGAGCCCAGTGAATAACCTTTCCTCGTAGTGCCTGGGGAACAAACAGTCTGTTGGAGGGTCCGTTACCTGGGCCAGGATCCACCTTAAGGCCCTCCAGGACCTGGTCTCTTATGGGCCATGTTACTCCAGCAACGATGCAGGAGGCAGGCAAGATGGTGCTAGGAGCCGTCTCATCTTCAGAGGAGTGCTGGCGAGACAGAGCGTCAGGCTTTGTGTTCTTTGATCCTGGTCTATAGGAAAAACAAAGTTAAAGCGGGAGAAGAACAAAGACCACCTATACTGTCGAGGGTTCAGTCTCTTTGCCTCCTTGAGATAGATCAGGTTTTTATGATCAGTCCAAATGATAAATGGTAGTTCAGCCCCCTCCAGCCAATGTCTCCACTCCTCCAAAGCCAGTTTTACTGCCAGTAACTCCCTGTCCCCCACGTCATACCTGCTCTCGGTGGGTGTCAAGCGCCGTGAGAAGAAGGCACACGGATGAAGTTTGTGGTCTTCTGGGGATACCTGAGAGAGGACTGCGCCAACCCCGGTGTCAGAGGCGTCCACCTCCACAGTGAACTGCTGCTTGGGGTCTGGTCTGGAGAGGACTGGGGCCTCGTTGAACCTCCTCTTCAGAGTCCTAAATGCAGCTTCGGCTTCTGGAGACCAGGAAAAGGGCTTAACAACAGAGGTTAGAGCTGTCAGAGGGGCTGCGGTCTGGCTGTAATTGCGGATAAACCGTCTGTAAAAGTTTGCAAAGCCAAGAAACCGCTGCTGTTGTTTCCTGGTGGCAGGGGTAGGCCACTCAGTCACTGCTTGGACCTTGTCTGGGTCCGCCCTCAGCCGTCCACTTTCTAAAACAAAACCAAGAAACTTAACTACTGAAACATGAAATTCACATTTCTCGGCTTTTACAAATAGTCTGTTCTCCAACAGCCGTTGGAGTACCATCCGAACATGTTTCTGGTGTTGATCAATGGACCTAGAAAAAATCAAAATATCATCAAGATATACAGATACAAAGTCATTAATGTAGTCCCCCAACACTGAGTTCACGAGTCTCTGAAACACCGCTGGAGCATTAGTGAGGCCAAAGGGCATCACCAAATATTCAAAGTGCCCCAGGGGTGTCTTAAAAGCTGTCTTCCATTCGTCACCTTGGCGGACTCTGACCAGGTGATATGCATTGCGGAGATCCAACCGCGTAAAAACAGTGGCATCTTGCACAGGTTCAAAGGTTGATGAGAGTAGAGGGAGCGGGTACTTGTCCTTCACCGTTATTTGATTTAAACCCCTGTAATCAATACAAGGGCGAAGCGACCCGTCCTTCTTGGCCACGAAGAAAAACCCAGCTCCCAGAGGCGAGGTGGATGGCCTGATTATGCCATTGGCCAGGGCCTCTGTAATGTATTTCCTCATACTGTCCTGTTCAGGTTTTGACAGACTGTAGAGGCGGCTGGTTGGGAGCGGAGCTCCTGGCAACAGGTCTATTCCAATGTCAAATGGACGGTGAGGTGGCAACGTGGCTGCTTGATCTCTACTGAACACTTGCTGCAAGTCATGGTACTCACTTGGTACCTGGGTGAGATCGGGCGGCTCCACAAGAGTCTTTTCAGAGTCCTTGGATCCAGAGGAAGCAGAGGTCAGGCAGGTAAGATGACACTCCGGACTCCAGGTCTCCACACGGCTTGATCTCCAGTCCAAACACGGGTTGTGTACCCTAAGCCAGGAATGGCCTAGAACTACTTGGTTCTGCGGGGAGGGAAACACAAATAATGAGATCATCTCCGTGTGGTTACCTGAGACCTGGAGCTGGAGTGGTTGGGTCCGGTGGGTGATTGTGGCCAGGGGCCTCCCATCCAGGGAGGACACTGTTAAAAGTTCCGGCAGTGGAACAGTAGACAGTGCCCAATCCCGCACCAGTTGAGGGTCCACCAAAGACTGTTCACATCCTGAGTCTACTAGAGCAGTCGTCCGGTGGCGACGACTGTTAACAGTCAAAGCACAGTCAATAAGAAAACGGGAGGTCTCTTTACCTGAATGACTGCCCACCAGAACTCCCGGAACTACTGGTGGGCACGCCCTTTTGACACCGCAGGGCAAGTGTGCACCATGTGTCCTGGTTTTCCACAGTAAAGGCACAACCCTTTACTGTAACGATGTTGGCGCTCATCTGGAGTAAGGTGGGTACGTCCCACCTGCATGGGCTCCTCGGGTGAGTCCAGAGGAGGAGACCTATGGGATGGACGATGTGCTACAGGTGGTGACAGATCCCTGAATGGTGTCTTCTGAAGCTCCCTGTGTCTCTTGTCGATAGAGATGCATAATGAGATCAGTCCGTCCAGGGTTGATGGCTCGGGGCACAGAGCCAGCTGGTTCCTTACCCGATCGTTCAGCGCTTCGATGAATGCTGCTTTAAGGGCATCGTCTCCCCATGATGTCATTGCAGCCAAGGTCCTAAACTCCAGAGACATGTCAGCCACTGACCTTCTTCCCTGCGAGAGGTGCAACAGTCTTTTTCTGATGTCAGTGGTGGTCTCTGAACTGCAAAAAGTCAGTTTAAAATCCTCCAGAAAGTCTGGGTAAGAACCAGACAGGAAATTAGGATTTCTGCTCTTAGCCTCCGCCCACCGAAGCGCCTTGCCTCTAAGTAGTCCAACAATAAACGAGACCTTCATTGAGTCAGTAGGAAAAGACCTCGGGGAGTCTTCAAACGCTAGGCGGCACTGTAGCAGAAACCCAAAGCAATCCTCGAATTCACCGGAGAAGGTCGGACATTGCCGAGGAGGAGCCGAACGGAAGTGGGTGATTTCCGGAGAGCCGAGCGCCTCCGGTCCAGGTGAAACCACACCGCCCGAGGTGTGTGCGTGTGGTTCTGTTCCGAACGCCGGAGCGGCGGCTGTCGCTGGAGCGGGGACGGAACCCGAGGCTGTAGAGGAGAGCTGCTCCTGAAGCTGCTGCAGGACGGTCTCCAAACGTTGATAACGTTGGTTGGTGATATTCAGCTGCTCCATGAGGACGGGAAGTGTCTGCTCTTGTTGGGACATCCGGGTAGCCAGATCCGCGAGTGCTGACTCCGCTGGATTAGATGTGTGGCCGGATGATTCTGTCATGGCTCGAGGTAAGTGTCTAACCCAAGACATGCAGAATCAGCACACGTAGTCCAAAGCAGTAAAGTAAAATGTCTTTATTATAAAAACGGGAACTGAAACCGCACAGGGAAGTCCTGTGGGATGAGCAATACGGCTCGAGTCTCTGAGGTGCTCAGGTTAATCAGTAGAGGAGGGGAAGCCGGGGAGGACGCTGGGCAGAGGATGAGAGATCCAGGAGGGGTGAGGTAGCAGAGGGAAAGCCAAACAGGAACGGCGGAGGAGGATGGGACGTGATGAGTATGTTCCAGAAAACGAAGACAGCGAGGGTGAGTAGATGATGAGATGATCCTGAGCGAGACAAAAACAGGCGTAAGGGATAATCCAATTCCAAATCCAAAATACAATCCAAGGTCATAAATCCACTAGTCGAAGGCGAGTCAAAACACGAATTAACAAGATCAAAGTTCAGAGTCGAGTGGCTGGTGCTACCTAAACTGGTGCAATCATCCGGCAAAGTGATGTGTCTCCATCCTCCTTTTGAACCCGCGTCCCTGATTGGGAAATCTCCTGCAGCTGCCGCTCCCCCTGCTCCTCACCTGTGGAGAATTAGCTCAGAGTCTGGTGAGAGGAGAAGGTGTGACTCACCTCTGCCCAGGAACATGACAGGGATAAACTTCCACTGTTATGCTGACGATACTCAGTTATATTTATCCATTAACCCTGATGAACCTAATCGGTTGGGTAGATTACAGGCTTGTCTTGAGGACATAAAAAATTGGATGACTCTTAACTTCTTGCTTTTAAATCAAGACAAGACGGAAGTTCTCATCTTTGGACCAGAAATCCAGAAAAGGAAATTGCTTAGCCAATCGCCTGACCTTAATGGCATTACATTAATCTCCGAGAACAAAGCAAGGAACCTTGGTGTTATCTTTGACCAGGACATGTCATTCAAATCCCAGGTTTCACAAGTTTGTCGGATTTCCTTTTTCCACCTTCGGAATATTGCTAAGATTAAAAGCATCCTTTCCAGGAGTGATGCTGAAAAACTAGTTCATGCATTTATTACATCAAGACTGGATCACTGTAATTCATTACTCTCAGGAAGTCCACAGAATGTAGTTAAAAGTCTTCAGCTTGTCCAAAATGCTGCAGCTAGAGTTCTGATGAGAATTACAAAGAGAGATCATATCTCTCCTGTCTTAGCTTCCCTACATTCGCTACCTGTTGAATTCAGAATAGATTTTAAGATCCTTCTTCTCACATTTAAAGCTCTTAATAATCAAGGTCCATCATACATCAGTAATCTGATTGTTCCATATGTTCCTAACCGAGCACTTCGCTCTCAGACTGCAGGTCTACTGGTGGTTCCAAGAATATCTAAACTTAGGATGGGAGGCAGATCTTTTAGTTATCAGGCTCCTCTCCTGTGGAACCAGCTCCCAGCCTTAGTCCGTGAGGCAGACACTTTGTCTACTTTTAAGAATAGGCTTAAAACATTTTTATTTGATAGGGCCTATAGTTAAAATCTGATGTTAGCCTAAATCCAGACAAGTGGGGGAGTACAGGGAGGTGGAGTGTACAGTCGGTAAAGACGGCTCTCCCTTGCCCTGCCTCCAACATGCCTACATCTAAATAGGATAGATTATCCAGAGTTAACTCTGTAGTTATGCTGCTATAGGCTTAGACTGCTGGAGGACACACTGACCACTTTTCACACTCTACTGCTTTCTTCTACAGTCCGCTCTTTAACTGTACTATTTTGTGCAATTTCAGCTGTCAACTTTATTTTCTCTGTAAGTGTTTTTCTCCCCAGAAGAAGCTACAATGACGTTCTGCTGAGCTGTGGTGGCCTCATGGAGGGGGCCATCGACTAGCACACTGCTGCTAACCACTAATACATTCTCTCTCTCCTGATAATAACTTTTTGTTTTCATTGACTTTTGATGTGCTAATACTAGTTTATCCGTTTAATTATAGATTCACTAGGATAAATACAATAAAGTTTATCTTTCACCAAATACAATATTTACTAAGACATCACAATATAACTATAGACACATTACTTGTGTGTGTGTGTGTGTGTGTGTGTGTGTGTGTGTGTGTGTGTGTGTGTGTGTGTGTGTGTGTGTGTGTGTGTGTGTGTGTGTGTGTGTGTGTGTGTGTGTGTGTGTGTGTGTGTCTGCTCTGTCTTCTCGATCCCCAGTGAGTCGTGGAGGATGGCTGCTTATACTGAGCCAGGATTCTCTGGAGGTTTCTTCCTGTTAAAAGGGAGTTTTCCTCTCCACTGTCGCTGCATGCTTGCTTAGTATGAGGATTACTGTATAGTCACTGACACTAGTCAGTGACTTGATGCAATTTGCTGGGTTCCTTATATAGGAAACATTATTTCTGATTGGCTTAATGAACTGTGAATTGGAATGTTTATTATGTGAAGTGCCTTGAGACGACTCTTGTGATTTGGCGCTATATAAATAAACTTGAATTGAATTGAATTGAATGCATCCATGCATCGTGTGGACAGTGCGGGTGTACTTGCTCGAATGACACATCTGGGATGTGTAGTGAGAAGGACGTACACAGTTCCTTGCCCAAAGTATATGGTGCACATTGACACCAATCACAGGCTCATCAGGTAATGTCTGTGTGTAATTGGAGATGTTATTTTTTGTTTTGGGACTTACATTTTTAATTGTCTGTGTTTTAACCAAGCCCCCACAATGCCGCTCTAAAAATGGTCCCATCCCGGAAGTAAGAAAAATTGCAGTTCCACCCTCATCCGCTGGTGTGTGTGTGTGTGTGCGCCTGCCTGCTCTGTCTTCTCGATCCCCAGTGAGTCGTGGAGGATGGCTGCTTATACTGAGCCAGGATTCTCTGGAGGTTTCTTCCTGTTAAAAGGGAGTTTTCCTCTCCACTGTCGTTGCATGCTTGCTTAGTATGAGGATTGCTGTAAAGTCACTGACACTAGTCAGTGACTTGATGCAATTTGCTGGGTTCCTTATATAGGAAACATTATTTCTGATTGGCTTAATGGCCTGTGAATTGGAATGTTTATGTGAAGTGCCTTGAGACGACTCTTGTCGTGATTTGGTGCTATATAAATAAACTTGAATTGAATTGAATTGAATTGAATCTGACTGTGGGGGAAACCGGAGTACCCGGAGGAAACCCACGCATGCATGGGGAGAACACGCAACTCCACGCAGAAAGGCCGCAGCCGAGTTTCAAATCTGCAACTTTCATGCTGCGAGGCAACAGTGCTAACAACTGTGACACCATGCAGCCATTGATGCCCGAATGTTGTTCCTAACATCAGACACTGGTCCTCCATGTAGGTATCAACCATATAGATCAGGAGAGGGGCAGTTTCAGGAGTTCTGGTCTGCTTCTGGTCCAGCTGCTTCTTTAGGTGTTGCTATGATCGTCCATTAAGTGGTCTGTTTATAGGTTCATCATCCATTTTTGTCTGACGTTCCCTAATCCCAGCCTCTAATCCCATTCCAGCAGCTGTTTTCCTGGTTGAGACTGCAGGTGTTCTGGTGCAGTGAGTGAATCCTCACACAATTCCTTCACTCGTAGTCATATAGACAGCATGATGGTTTGTGTGACCTGCGTGGTTTCACTTACACCCCTTTAATGATCAGGCTGTTTTTATTATTTTTATCAGCTGATAGCAGTTAAAATTATGGTAAAAAAAACTTATATCTGTTTTGATAACTTAATGCCCAGGAAGAGCATCTTCTCTAGACATTAAATATAACCCAAATGTTTTATTATGAGCAGATCTGATGAAGGTGTAGACAAGCAGTCTGCAAAGTAAAACTTGTTTAGAGTCCAAACTCTTACTAAAGCTTTTGAAAAGAAAAAATGGTTGAATTTTGAGAAATATCCACAGCAGGGGAGCGAGACCTCTGAAAAATGTATATTTTCTCTGAATTAATAGAATAATGTGAGGATTCTGGGAAAAGTTGGGATTCTGAGATTAAAACGTAAATCTATCTAATCATAATTCTGGCAGTTTTTGTGTCCTTCTGCTGTGGAAAGTCATGCAACATGAAGATACTGAGAAGATGCGTAAAACCTGTATTTTTATTCCATCCATAAATAAAATCATGAGCTATTTTTTTAATCCAAATTTGATCCAAAGGGCCATCGTTGGTTCCAGACCCGTTCTAGAACATTCCTCTAATCTTAAAGTCATCATCAGTTTCTTCCTTTTAACAAATATTTATTTGTTAAAATATTTAATATTTATAACTGGAATATTTGTTCCTCTCTCTCCCACTGCAGTTAGTCCTGTCCTGCAACCCTGTTTTTGCAGCTTAGTGAAGCCAACCATCACTAACCTGGGGGTGGTTTTGTACCCAGAGATGCGGATGGACTCCCACATTAGCCAGGTGGTTAGATCCTGCTTTTTCCACCTTCGCCAGCTACCAAAGATGAAGTCCATCCTGAAAGACGTGTCATATTTTCTCCCCAAGCCTGACCTGACCACAGATATACTGCAGCTCGGTGAGTTGGTAGATAGTGCTTGATGTTAGAAGTCTGTATGCCATCAGATAAACTTTTTTTTTGGGGTGAGGCTTATATTGCAGTACGCTCGAGTCAGTAATTTCCGGTAAGTATTTTAAAGCCATATACTTAATTAGTTCTTTGTATGAAGTTTTCCTCTAGGTGATCCAGAGAGGCTTGACCTTTGGGTGATCAACCAAAGAACAGAGTGCTGGACTCCCAATTCATTCTCCCGCTTGTGCAGTGAACACTTTGAGAGTCATCACTTCACCACGGACTCCAGGGTACAAACACATTACTTCATATTTTGGTTGAGATTTAAAAAATTGAAGCATTAGCTGTATAACATACCGACGTTACATTGCTGTGTAACTAGAAGAAAATCTTCCCCACCCTTGAATTGTCTGTGACTAGGGCTGTTTAGATGGAACACAATCATGTTATTAATTTCCATCTAATTCTATGGTTAATTACTCAGAGAAACAATTTAATTTTTGGACAGTCTTTAATGTGTAACTTTATGTATTGGGATGAATGACAAATATTCATGTTAAACTAAAACGTTAGGCATTTAGGGGTAAAAAACAAAATAATAAACATTATACAGATGTCAAATAAATCAAACTGTAATTAAACTATATATTTTCAAAGTCTCGATTCTGGATAAAATCCAACAACATATGCTTTATAAATAACAAACACTACACATGCCTTTTACACACACACACACACACACATGCAAGCACATTCACTCACACACACACAGTGCTCTGGTGTACCAGTGTGTTCTTCAGAAGCTGACCTTGTCTGATGTGTGTATATGTGAATCTCTTTTTTTTAATTAAGTAATTATGTTTTTTTATTTTAGGGGAGAGTTTGCCTGAAGGACACAGCCGTACCTACAATCTTCTCGTCCTTTAAGGTCAAAAAACCTGTTCCAAGAAGGGAAGAACAGGTAAGTAGGAATGACAAGGTAAGTTTTGAGAAGGTTGCAGATGTAGATGCAGGTGTACACATGTGCCATAAAAGTTGGTGTTGATCTGAGCAATATATTGATGTGTGGAGTCACCTCAAGAGGTCTTTGTTACTCAAAATGTAACACATGATGCCATTCCTCTGCAAGCAGTTGAGTGTTATACTGCTCATTCTGGTCACAGTGTTCAACACCAGAATGACTCAGGCTCTGGTCAGTTTAACACTGTGCCATTACAGCCAAATAGCATCCTGAGTGACCATTGCTATCAGATCAGAGTCTCCCAAAACGCTTAAAAGGAGAGTTCTGTCGGCAAATGAAAAGGTATGCGTAGTTCAGAAAAAGCTTAGATTGCAATCCTGGAAGACAAGGAGACTGAAGGCAAGAATTTCTTCTTTGAAAAGTGTCACCAAAATTCTTCAGAAGAAAGTAATCATGTCCATGTGCTTGTAAAGATGGCTTCAGCGTGGTACTGCAAAATTAGATTAAATCATGTAGCACAGAGGAGACGGACCGGATAAAAGAAGGCAAAACTGTCCGCAAGAAGCTCACAAATTAATCCATTTTTATGGAGATTAGAGAAAAGCTGTCCTCATCATATCTTTTAGTCTGTCTGTACATTTTGTTATGTGCTTGTTATTTGCAGACAGAACATAACATATGAAGAGGCTTCCTTTTATTGGACATCCTTTTAAATGTTACTTAGAGCCTGCATGAACGGGGCCTAAGTATACACTGACGAAGCTCTTTATCCTTGAAGTTTGACCCCAACATACAGGATGCTACACTAAGTTGTAAATGGAGTTTTAAACAGTCAGGCACTGTTTCATTTACTGTTACATGTATGTTACTATCTATCCCTTAGAGTCTGCATGAACGGGGCCTAAGGTGATATTCTAACATTTATGTAAGTGAACACTTGATAAAGTTCAGAGTAAAAGTTACAACATGCAAAATGCATATGCAACCTTCTCAGTTTTCTGAAATATATTTGATGACAAATTTCTTGATAGGTTGATGTTACATTGAAGAAAAACATAAAATATCTTAAAACTAAAATCATTTTGATATGTTATTGCACAGATAAGCTGTATTGTTGAATCCCAGCAGTATGGGGGTTTTGGTTTGTTTGTTCTATTTGTTCCTAGCAGGTATTCATTTTCTCTCTGCGGTGGAGTTCCTGCCAGTTCACCCCCAGTTTCAGCTGCTGAACGTCTTCAGCTTATCTGAAAGTAAGATTTAAAAGACCCTATCATCTTTGGTGATCTCACGCCTACACAACATCCTTTGTTCTAATGGTGAAATTAATTTAAGCCAGACCTGGGCATTTTATGGCCCGCGGGCCACATACGGCCCTTTGGTTGACTTTGACCGGCCCGCGTAAGGTTAATTGGAAATTACAAAATAAATGTATTTTCTCATTTTACCTCATGAATGGACTAAGGCTGCATTGCTTTTATTTTGAAGTTGTTTTTACGTGCACAATGACGCAATACGTATAGCAACAAGTGCCCGCGGTTGACATGGTGATTGTAGCCCCAGAAATGTCCGCTCATGCAAAAAAAAAAAAAAGAAAAAGAAAAAAAGAAAGAAAGATGCCAAATACAGGATTTTCAACAAAAATTGGACTGCTAAGTATTTTATTTTTTTTACTGAAGTCGGAGGCAAAGCCGTGTGTTTGGTTTGTGGGGAACAGATTGCCGTGTTTAAGGACTACAATTTGAGTCGGCATTACAACAAGAAACACTCGGAAAAATACAAGAACTCATCTGATGCTGAGAGGGCACGGACATCCGAAGCTTTGCTAGCAAAGTTGCAAAAGCAGCAAGGCTGTTTTACTAAGCTTCACACATCCAGGGATGCAGCAACCAGGACCAGCTTTGTGATATCCCACAAAACAGCTAAAAACAGCAAGCCGTTTTCGGAGGGAGAGTTTGTCAAAGAATGCATGGTGGACTCTGTCGCACTAATATGCCCTGAAAAAAAAGGCGCATTTGAGCAAATCCCGCTGTCCAGGCGAACCGTGGGGAACCTGGAGCTTCAGCTGCAACGTGAAGTGGCAAGTTTTGACTTTTTCTCATTGGCCTTAGACGAGAGCTGTGATGTCCGGGGGATAACGGAGCTCACAGAGGAGCTGGCAGCAATGCGGTCGATGAAAGGGACAACGACAGGGAGTGATCTTTTTACAGAGGTAAATGCGTGCACGGACACTCTGGGATTGCAATGGGAGAGACTGTCAGGTGTCACAACAGACGGTTGTCCAAATCTTACAGGGAAAAATGTCGGACTTTAGAAACGCATTCAAGATAAAGTGACAGAAATCGATGCAGATCAAAAATAGGTGTTTTTGCATTGAATTATACACCAACATGTGTTGTGCAAGTCCGTGCTAAAGATCAACCATGTTACTGATGTTGTTACTAAAATAATAAACTTCATCAGGGCACGGGCGATGAATCACAGACAGTTTGTGGCTCTTTTGGAGGACTCCACACAGCTGTCAGATGGCTCAGCCTGGGGAAAGTGCTGAAGCGGTTTTGGGACTTGAAAGCAGAGATTTGAGATCTCTGCTAGATTTCTACTCTTCTCTTAAGGAGGAGAGCTTCCCAAACCTGAAGAGACATGCTCAGAAGATGTTGGTTTTCTTCGGCTCTACCTACATTTGTGAACAAACATTTTCAATGATGAAGTTTACAAAATCCAGGTAAAGATCCTCTCTCACTGATGATCATTTGTCAGCTGTGCTTCGCATCTCCACCTCAGACATTCAACCTGACATTGATGCACTCGTTAAAGCCCAGCAGAGACTAGATTTCTCTCATTGAATAAGAAAAAAATCGCTTAAAAACACAAAATAAGGTGTTTGGACCACAAATGTAGGCAACTAGCAGTGAACTGGGACACTTTTTTTTAAACCTCTTTCTCAAGATCACAGTTCAGTGATTTTATTTTACAGACAATGTGTGTCTGTAGAATGCTAAGAACCTCTTTCCAACAATATTTGAAACTCAAAATGTGTTTTGGAGTGAATGTGACTGAAACTGTTAACTAATATAAGTCACAAATGTTTAACAAAAACCAAATGCGCACTTTGTTTACCATTGCCTTGGGAAATTTGAATAAATCACATTTTTGTAAGCCAACCTCAATTTTTCCTTTTTGCTCATTTATAACATATAGTCTACTCTTACCAGCTTGAAAAAACAACGGTATTTACTGCTTTTTATAAAGAAATACCATTAATATTATGCATAATTGACTTCAGCCTTTTGGCCTGGCCCTCCACAATATTTTCTATTTCTCATGTGGCCCCATGGAAAAAATAATTGCCCACCCCGACCTAAGATCAAAGCTTGTGAGAAGGAATGAAGGGTCTGAGCGGTCAACAGGTGAGTTGAACTTCTTAGTGTGAAGCATGTGTTCAGTGAACTTACAGTGCAATGAATGGTGGGTAGGAGAAGAAAATAGGCGCTAATGGTACGAGAAAGATAGCCTGGCCTGCCAGACTCCTCCTGTTTAATTCACGTCATACACGGCGATGCTCAATTTCTCATAAACAACAAAGACAGCGGCGGAGTTTGCTGCGGCTCTTTCCTCTGTTCTAAATGACACAGATGTCTTTAAAACCACAAGTAGAAGCGCTAAAAGCATTTCTTCTAAAAATAAAAGATGTTTGCGCCATTGCCAGATGCTATTTTTTTTTTACTACAACTAGAAATCTACCGCGTCGTGTGGTACAGTCGGGATTTCCTTCTTTTTTCTGATTGGTCATTTTTGAGCTTCCTAGTCCCGCCCCTCAAGTGATCTTCCAGCTAAAAGAAAAACTCAGCAGACTGGAGACTGTCTCCAAGATGTGTCTGCCACTCTTCAGAGCCATTCAGGATGGTGTCCAAAAGCACTTTGGTGAGATGATGGAAGACCCTGAGCTGACTGCTGCTGCAATCCTTCTTCCAAAGTTCAAGACCACCTGGACTGAGGCACGATATCATTGAAGCAGGTAATATTTTATAATTTAATATCATACCTTAATCTGTTTCTTATTCATTTCAATCCTGTCAACATACTTAAAGTTTAATTATACGAGTCTTTCGACACAAATTATAGTATTTGTAAGGCATGTATTACTAAAAACAATTCTTGTTGCATCTTCTATCAAAACTTAATTGCCAGATATATTAAATATGTGTTATGTATTTGTCATTCAACAGGTTTGATCAATATAAGAAGATATCTTGACCAGATGGCAGAGGCTGGGGCGGAGCAAGTCAAGCAACAGTCATCACATCCTACACTCATCTTTGTTTAAAAGTGCTTTTCAGTCCATCGGTCCCAGCATGCTCTCTATAATTAATGCTTCTCTGGTCTCTGGTCAGGTCCCTGCTTACTTTAAGAACGCTGTAATCCACCCGCTTCTTAAAAAACTGAGTCTCGACCCCTCTCTCCATAGCAGCTTCAGACCCATCTCCAAACTTCCGTTCATCTCCAAGATCTTGGAAAAGGTTGTGGCTAAACAACTCACAGCTGCTCTTGATGAACATAACATCTATGATAGCTTCCAGTCAGGTTTTCGTAGAGCTCATTCTACTGAAACAGCTCTTCTTAGGGTCTCTAATGACCTTCTGACCCACAGTGATGCAGGGGACTGATCTGTTCTGGTCCTGCTGGACCTGACTGCAGCCTTTGACACTGTTGACCATCACCTGCTACTGGAGAGGCTGAGAGACTGGGTAGGCCTATCTGGATCTGCCTGGGGGGGGGGGGGGGGGGGGGGGGGGGGTCATTCAGGGAAAAGTCATAGGCTTGTGACTATAACCTAATTTATGTTACTAGTTTGCAGTGTAACTGCCTTTGTACTTCAATATGCATATTTGTTCATTTAATTAAAAAAACAGCCACTTTGACATTTATACCCCATTGTCTTTTTTTAACTATTCAGAAGAGCCCGTCCTTGCACAGTCAAAAAAGTAACTAAGTAACTTTTACTCTGACTACATTTGAAATAAGCTACTTTTTACTTTTACTTGAGTACATTTTGAGGCAGGTAATTTTACTTGTAATTGAGTAAAATTTCATGAAAGTAATTGTACTTGTACTTAAGTACAACATTTTAGTACTCTTTCCACCTCTGCCAGTAGCAGAAGTTTGTCTACAA